GGGGGGGGCTAAGACAGAAGACTGATACTTGATTGCAGAACTCACATTCATCATATTATTTAGACCGATTGCATCCTCAGGAAAAATAGTTGATATATTAACTAACTAGTTATTAACTTACTGGGTTTATAGATATATAGGAAATTGGTTCCATAAAGTAGGGATAAGGTTTAGATGATGATGTTGATGGCAATGATGATATATAGGGATATAGCAGGAAAACAAATGCTTATTGGGTATGAGCTTTCAATGAACCCAATTGTGTAAAAAGAAGGGTAAATTACAATAGTTATCCTGTATTTGGGGGGTAGTAACACTTGGGTACTCTGAATTTTCGAATGTAATATGTAAAGTGCAAAATCTTATATTTTGTACGTATTTATGCTATACATAATTGCATTTGTACTCCTTCCAAACGGGTCATTTTCCATCAGTTAAACATTTTATAATACCAAAATTACCCTTTTTATGTATTTTTAAACTGTTTTGCCCCTATGTATACACACACTATTTTGAGAGCTCGTTCGCAAAATAACTGTACTCTTTGACAGATAATTTTGGCTCAATTTCCATGGTCCAATCTAATCTGATAAACACTTTGGACTGGTCCAATTCAATACGGAAATGGATTGAATATTTGTTCAGTTTGACCCAATCTAATATAAATGGACCAGGCCCAATCTAATCCAATAAATTCTTTGATTTTGATTTAAAGGGTACAACCCGAAACCAGAGCATTGACACTCCCAACCACACTAATATCCCCCTCTCCAGAGTGGATGGTTGCGGAAATGAAATCCCCGTTTACACCCGAGAAGCAGCTAACAACTAACGTACCAACTGAGGAGCCGCCCTTCAGTTTAAAAGTTTGGGTAGTAAAATGAAACTACCCCAAACCACAGCATACTAACCTGCCATTTATCCAGAAGAAGGAATCCAAATTTAATATTTAATTTTAATTTTAAAGGAGGGAATTGGGAAGTGGAGGGTGGAGACATCCTTTCCTTGAAACCGGAAGAGAAGATTCAGTGCCTCCCCCTCTCCCTCTGCATTATTCCCCAGGCAACATGCTGAAGTACCCACGCCTCGTTTTACACAAATCCCTCTTGCTTTCTCTCTCTAGTTTCTTCGCATTTAATATTTCGAAAGGCAGATACATATACACACACAGAGATCGGATCGGCTCCTCACACCGATCTCACAGCACGTTTCAGCCGTGCATCTGAAACATGGATTTGGATTCATTT